ATTTTAGGTTCACAGCAAACTTCCGTGGAAGGTGCAGGCATTTCTCCTACACCCTCTCCCTGACATGCTAACCTCCTTCCTTATCAACATCTCCTACCAGAGTACAGACCATCAGACCAGCTGGTGCAGTGGGGGAAGGTTACAAAGGGTGTGAATACCAGGAGGCAGCGGTCTTTGGGGCCATCTTGGAGCCTGGGCACCACACCTAACGGAACAAAAGACTTATTGCAATAAAGCAGCAGCAAAGAAAGCTAAGAACTACTGAGTTGAGAGGCCTTTGTGATGGTAACTGCTTCTTCTCCTGGCTTATTTCTGCACAGTGGCTTGTTTGTTCTTCATTCTGAAAGAAGACATCTTTGTTTTCCCCTAATACCCTATGCTTTCTCGTGGCCTTTATTGGGTATAATTTACACATGCTACATTCTCTTCCTGGAATGTCCTTGCAACTCCCGTCCACTTAACAAAACTGCTGTGTCTTTCAGATTTTCTCAGGCTCAACTTCTTTCTGAGGGCTCTTTCAATCCTCATCAGGGCAACTGTTGAGTCACTCCTGGGCTAATTAAATAATTAGGTCCTTGCATGTTTTATACTGCAATACATTACTTTTAGAATTGCCTGACTCATACTTGAAGCTTGTTTTTTTTGTAGTCTTTATTTTTTTTATTAGTTGTTCCAAATATTACAAAGCTCTTGACATATCATATTTCATACATTTGATTCAAACGGATTATGAGCTCCCATTTTTACCCCGTATACGTATTGCAGATTCACATCGGTTACACATCCACTTTTTTACATACTGCCATACTAGTGTATGTTGTATTCTGCTGCCTTTCCTATCTTCTACTATCCCCCCTCCCCTCCACTCCCATCTTCTCTCTCTACCCCATCTACTGTAATTCATTTCTCTCTCTTGTTTTTTTCCCCTTTCCCCTCACTTCCTCTTATATGTATTTTTTGTATAACAATGAGGGTCTCCTTCCTTTACCATGCAATTCCCCTTCTCTCTTTCCCTCCCCCCTCTCGTCCCTGTTTAATGGTGATCTTCTTCTCATGCTTTTCCTCCCTATTCTCTTCTTAGTTGCTCTCCTTATATCAAAGATGACATTTGGCATTTGTTTTTTAGGGATTGGCTAGCTTCACTTAGCATAATCTGCTCTAGTTGCCATCCATTTCCCTGCAAATTCCATGATTTTGTCATTTTTTATTGCAGAGTAATATTCCATTGTGTATAAATGCCACATTTTTTTTTTTTTTTTTTATCCATTCATCTATTGAAGGGCATCTGGGTTGGTTCCACAGTCTAGCTATTGTGAATTGTGCTGCTATGAACATCATTGTAGCAGTATCCCTATAATACGCTCTTTTTTAAGGTCTTTAGGGAATAGTCCAAGAAGGGGAATAGCTGGATCAAATGGTGGTTCCATTCCCAGCTTTCCAAGGAATCTCCATACTTTGAAGCTTGTTTTTCAAAAATATTTTTTAAATGCAAACTTTAAAACATATACCAAAATATTATTAATGCCTACTGAATTCATATGCCAGCAATGACCAATACTTGGTCTTCTTATTTCATCTACATTCCTGTCTCCTTTCTACTTCTCTAAAATCCAAATTATTTAACCCACAAATATTTTACATGCATCTGTAAAAGGACTCAAAATAACAAACATAATACTATCATTCCTGAAAATATTTTTCAGTAATCCTTGAATGTCAAATACCCAGAAAGAAATTTTCTTTAACTCAAAAATTTTTGTTATTGATTTGCTTGAAACATTATCCAAATAAGGTTTGTACACTGCATTAGATGCTATGAGTCACACATTCTTTTTTCATACTCTCCACTTTTTTTTACAAAAACTCATTTATTTTTAAGAGAAACTGATCATTTGTAAAGTTTCCCACATTCTAGATTTTGTTCATTGAATTCCTATGATGTTAACTCACTCCTCTATTCCCTATAAACTGGAAGATTTTGAGCAGTAGTTCTCAAACAGTTTTTCACTGAGATCCTTTTATAGTCTCAAAAACTATTGAGGATTCTAAAAGAGCTTTTGGTTATGAGGATTATATCTAGTGATGTCTATATATTAGAATTTAAAACTGAGAAATTAAAAAATTAAAAATTAAACTTACTACATATTAACATTTTTAAATGATTTTTTCAAAAACAAAATTAGTGATGTTACATTCTTTTACTTTTTTTTTTTTTTAACACATCCCAGTAATTTCTGGCCTAAAAGAAGGCAATTGGGTTCTCATATCTGTTTCTGCATTCAATCTTTTGCAATGTATTACTTTGGTGAAGTATATGAAGAAAGCATGGCTCACACAAACATGAAGTTAGAACAGGGAGTATTTTAATAGCTTTCCTGACAATTATGGATATTCTTTTTTTATTTTTTAAAAATTTTTAATTGATTTTTTAAAAAAAATGACAGAGGAATGCATTACAATTCTTATTACACATATATACAATTTTTACACATATTTGTATGTGTAAATATATATGTATATATATTTATATAACAAATATATACATGTTGTATATATATATTTTTTACACATATATATTACACATATATACAATTTTTCATATCTCTGTTTGTATATAATGTGTTTTGACACCCAATTCATGTCCTCATACATGTACTTTGGATAAAGATGTCTATCAAAACTTGACAAGTGTCTGTTGAAATCTGAAACCATATCATACTGTTCCTATAAGATCTATTGGTCTATCTTGCACTTAGAAGGATACTATAATTAATTATACAGTTTGGTGCCACTGCCTTGATTTGTGCTAAGGCTCCAGCAGTCTCACCTACTATTGCTTTTGCACCATCAAATATCACCACAATAAAAAAGGCAAACATGTCTTAGTATTATTAAGAAGATAGTTTTGACTCATGGATTCTTTCATCAAAGAATCTTGGGAACTTTAAGGGTCTTTAGACCACACTTTGAGAACCACTGATTTAGAGGCTTGATCAACCTTAGTTTTGCAACTGTAAGCTTTTAGAAGAAAAGGACTCTTCTTGTTTAGCAGAAGTCCAGATCTTGATCTAAAATCACACTGCAAATCTGTTCTAGGAATTGAAACCTAATGAAACGTTCTTACACATCTTTCTAGGATAAGAATCACAGGTCACTGTTACTGGAATAACCTGAAATACTTAATGTTAGTACAATAAATACCATTTCTTTACATTTAAGAGAATCTGGGGATGTAGCACAGTGGTAGAATGCTTCCTGGCACACACGGGGCTCTAGGTCCAATTGCACCACACACAATACAAATAAAAGAATCTAAGTTCCTAACTTAAGTGGCTAAATAACTAAAATACTAAAAATCAATGAGACAATTTGATTGAAGAGTTTTGTCATTTCTTGGGGCCCCTCATATCAATCATTTCCAGAATAGAAGAGCCTTCGACTTAAAAGCCAGTCGTCAAAACTACTTAACACGGCCAGGAAGCACCATTTTTGCCTTCTGTTTTTTGTCTCTTTTCTTTCTTGTACTTCTTTCCTCATCCCAGTTTTGCTTCCTTTTCCCATCTGTTTCCTACCAAAGTTTCTAAGACTCTACCACAACTCTCATAGCTTGTTCCAGAGCATCCTCTTCTTCGGTGGTTAAAAAATATTATCTGCAGGCTGTGATTCTCCAATTCTCTCCACTCTTGAATCACTGCCATATTAATTGCTTCCACGGGGAACTTTCTAAAGGAGAGAACTATGTTCCTTTTATCATTTTTTCCCTTTTCCTCAAATATATACAATCATAAAGTCTTGAAAAATATATGATTTTTCTTTGAAGAATGATAATGATGTACTATAGTAAGGATCTCATATAAGTTTTTAGTTTAAAAATGTTTAGCCAGACTAACTTAAATACTACTTATAGTCTGTATTACCTTTCTGTTATTGTGACAAATTAGCTGAGGTAATCAACCTAAAACAAGGAAAGGTTTGTTATAATTGGCTTGGGGTTTCAGTCCATGGACGGTTGGCCAGTTGAGACATAGAACGCAGGAGCATATAGTGAAGATGGCTGTTCACCACATGGAGAAGAGAGGAGGGAGGTAGGGTCCCAATATCCCCTTCAAAAGCATACCTCCAGTGACCTAATTTCCTCCAATTTGGTCCTACTCCTGTAAGGGTTCATCACCTTCAACTAGTACCAGGGGCTGGGGAAATTTTAGATCCACACTACAGCAGTCTAATGACTTATTTTGTTCCAGGCCATGTTCCTGGTAGGCTTGTAGTGGCAGGGGGGCATATAGAGAGATGGGGTGGGGATCTAATGTCAGTTCTGTCATTAGTTGACTATTTAATTTTAGGTAGACTTACTTGGTTTTCAGATTTAGATCAACGTAATAGATCGGTTTGGATTAAATGTCTTTTTAACTTAAAACTGTATGGCTCTAAGTTTTACATCAGAAAATATATTTATAGATCAGGTAATATAAAATATATAATAAGTGCTAATTCTAGCTGGCAACCTCTTTGTTCTTTCAAGTTTAAGGTCTCATAACCAACTTTACATAAAAGTAATACAAATGATAAAGAAATAGAAAACCCAAATTAAATTGCAAAGGTACTACAAGCATTAAAAAGCAATCATTAGAATTTATGGTAAATACTACCTTTATTTAAAAAAGTTATACATGCTAGAAAAAAGCATAAATGATACATGTAAACAATTGTTTACCAAATACTTTTTTTTCCTTGAAAAAGGTGCAAATGATCTTTAAATGTAAACACAAAAGTTGCCAAACTTTTTACTGTAGGGGAGAAAGTGAAGATTATTCTTTTATTGTAGAGGAGAAAGCAAAGGTTATTCCTTCTGGTTGTGGTTAAAGTCTTTTTTTTTTTTTTTTTTTTGCTGTGGGTGTTGGTGACTGAACCCAGGACCTTGCACCAGGCAAGCATTCCACCACTGAGCCACATCCACAGCCCTTTTTATTTTGAGACAGGGTCTTGCTAAGTTGCCCAGGCTGGCCTCCAACTTGCAATCCTCCTGCCTCAGCCTCTCGAGTAGCTGGGATTACAGACGCGCACCACCATGCCCAGTGTGCGGTTAAAGTCTTATTCAAAGGTTTTCCTGCAAAATAATTGAAAAAATTGGTCTATGAATATAATGAGGGAAAAAAAAACTTTAACCACTGAATATCATTTATTTCCTTAAAAATTTTAACTTTTTCACCAGAAAATGCAATTTGAGAGAAATAGTTAACAGTGGCCTTATAGAGTGAAGCTAATGATGTATAGTTTGCATAAAAGAACCCAGATATTGATAAAATGTCTCAGTTGATTACGTGAACTGAAGACTTCATTCCTTTGGAGGCCGTTATTAAAGGTAAGCCTCAGCTTCACCAGGCCTGAGTATCAAGGGTAAATTACACAACAGAATTCACTGCTGGGGAGAAGACATTTCTCCCTGCCATCCTGGGCAGCAATGAGGAAACAGCAAGGGAAGTGGCTTCCACTGGTAAGTCTGTGAGTGAAAACTCTTGCAGAGCTGCATGTGGTTGGGGGGTCTCAAGACAGCAAATGAGATGCATTCCCATTTTTATAAGAGGCACTGATCAAAGTATAGGTCTAGCAGAAACTCCATGAGAATATTATGATAAAAAAAGACTTTAGTAACTAGAGTTGAAAACAAGTTCATTTAGAAGGAAATAAGATGAAAGCTTCCACTTCTGAAAACTGTCGCATTAGACTCCTGCTTTTGATGATTTAATATTCCTTCTGAATTGTACTATTTAATGAGATGTTTCCTTTTTATTTTAGATTTTCAAGTCTTGTGGTGCTGAGTATGAGAATGACGAGTAGTTCACACACTGTGCATTCCCATCTCTGTCACCGGGAGTCCTGGTAAGTGGTGGAGGACATGGATGGAGTGTCCAGTAGATACGACCACCAGACCATAATAGCCCTTCTGCCCTTATCAGTATTTGTATTTTCAAAATTAAGTTAATACCTTAAAAATCAAAGCAAGCTTGGAACTGTAGTCGTTGTCTTCTTTTCTTGGGAGGAAGGATAAGTAAAAAACAAAAACAAAAAACCAAAGCCCCAAACACCCCCAAACCAAAACACCATGATAAGTTAAAACCAAAAATAAATATTCTTCTGCACAGAGTTGGAAATTATTGTGCAAAGGTGGCATCTTGCAGGTGAAGCACTGTCATCAGAGTTGCATTCCCATATGTTGAGGCACCGGCAAAGAATAAAATTTGTTCTAATGTTTTCTCAAGCTGTACAAAGCTTCAAAGTCAGAGCTCTCCAGAATACAGAGAAGCAGGTTCAAGACAGTCTTCTACATATTCACCATATATGGGATTCACAATGTGTCATTTTAATAACTCCTACACCCCCTCCTAGCCGACGGTAATTCATCCCGCCATATAACCTGCAAAGATAGAAACAAAATCAGATTTTCTAGCTGGGAAAAGCACTGTTTCTACTATAACCACAAGTCAAACACATGTCTATGTTTTACACCACAACTATTATTTCCAGCTTCATACAACTCTTCCAAAGATTCGAAGCCAGAGTTGAGCACTGGCAAGGAGCAGAATTATTTCAGACACTGACTGAAAAGCTCTCATTCACAGGCTCTTTAAAGAGTCAAGAGCACCATATTTACTTTGTGCATCAGAACCTTACAAGTCTACAACTAGAATGGCTTCTAAAAATTGTACATAAAAAGTTAAAAATACAAACCCAACAATGACAGAGAATCTTCTGTCTGCCCTGTAGCTTTGTGTCTAACTTTGCCCTGTTACGTTGACTTTCCTATCCCATTCCCTTTGCCTAGCCTTCCTCAGTGGTTTCCTTTTATCTCTTTGTCTTCCATGCACTCTTTTGACTCTTCTCAAATCCTGAAGAGAACACAACTAGAGTCAAGCAAAGAGTGTTGGCAGCCAGGAGGTGAACAAGATCATCTTCAACACTACAGACTTTCACGGACAACGCCAGATCCTCAGTTAGCAGGGAGGTGAAACTGGTTTTAAGATGGGCATTTATAACTGCAAAAATTTAGACATTAATCTCTCTACAGATGACCCTCCACAATTTCATGAATATGATATCATCATGTTACAACTCTAGTGGTGGTTACTGAGCAGCAAGTCCTTATATAAACTGGATTACACCTGATTAAGTACCAAAAGTAAATTTGGCTATTTTCCCAAATTATTCTTACTCACAAATTCTTACAAAAAATACAACACTCTATATGGAAGAATCCCAGGAGAAGGAGGCTTCCATTCATGAAAACCTGCAGCCTTTAACTTGTGGTAGGTTTTGCCAGAATGTTTCCTTGTCAGCGAGGCCCTCGATGGCCCTTGGCAGCAGACTCCTCCCTAGCTTCCGAATGCCCCACTCTCCTGCTCACCTGCACTTCCACCTCCTGTGAGCCCAGCTGGCCTGAGCACAGGCTGGCTCCAGGAGGGCAATGAACTTCTTTTTGTTCACCTTTGGATCCCCAGGGCCTGGAATACTCAGTAAATCTTCAATGAACAGGGTGGTGAAAATATGAGGTTTTGGAGCACAAAATACTCCAGTGTCGCAGGCTGGCTTTAGTACTTTAGGCACACAGAGCTGCGAGAGCCATGCAGATAAAGCAAATTATTCAAACATCTGTAAGATATTCCCGAGGTGAAGACTGGGAACAACTCGGTAAACGTATTAGTTGATCCAACGGGGAGAGGAAAAAACTTGGTGGTTAGTTGCAGGCTCCACATTATGAAGTGATTCGCTGGGACCCAGTGGGAATGGCCTCTGAGATGAGTTCAGCTTGTCTCTCAGGATGGACCTGAGAACCTCCCGGAGTGTGCTGTCTGAGACCTCACATTCACACTCGTCACCCTGTTTGATGTTCTGCCTCAGTCACTGAGCTGGGAACTTTAAAATTTGCTGAGGCAAGGAAGCTCAATTTGTGGAGAAGAGAACCCTTAATTGCTTGGAAGGTGAATTTGTTTTCTTGGAAGACTAATTTATTTCTATTTTATTTATTTATTTATTTTTTGTGTGGTGCTGGGGATTGAACCCAGGGGTGCTCTAACACTGAACTACTTCACCGGTCCTTTTTAAATTTTGAGACAGGGTCTTGCTTAATTGGGATCACAGGGATATACTACCACACCCAGCTCTTGGAAGAATTAGAATTTTAGTTAAAAAATATTTTTTATTAAGTTTGAGAACTAACTCTTACAAATTTGAGTTCTTATAATATCTAAGACAATTTGGCATTTTAGGGCCTCTATCAGATTCGTTTTTTTTTGGGGGGGGGGGTACCGGCAATTGAATTTAGGTATACTCGACCACTGAGCCCCATCCTCTCTTTTGTATTTTATTTAGAGACAGTGTCTCACTGAGTTGCTTAGCGCCTTGCTTTTTGCTGAGGTTGGCTTTGAACTCATGATCCTCCTGCCTCAGCCTCCCGCTGGAGCCACTGGGATCACAGGTGTGAGCCACCATGCTGGGCTTCAGCCCTCTTTAGAGTACAACGGCGGGTATTTCAAAGCCCTGACCATCCCAGTTTCAAGGATTTCAAGTCAGAGTCAGAGTGAGCAGAACTGCACACAGCCTAGGTTTACCTCCAGGTATTGGCATCGGGGTCAAACACTTCGATGGTCTTCAGGTAGGTTGTGCCATCAAAACCTCCCACGGCCATAAGTTGTCCATTGACCACGGCCAGGCCCACCTACGGAACGAGAGCATAGTGGCTGCTGAAGAGCTAGACAATTACTGGGAGACGTCAGCCCTGCTTCTACATTGATCTCTTTAGTTCTTTATGGTTTTACATCCTGGTTCACTTGAACACAGAGGAAAAGAGTAACAATGAATATCTGTGAAATATGGGAACCATAAAATTATATATTCAATTACAATATTTATAGAATCCAAAACATATTTCTTAAATTTTAGAAGAAACGTTCATTAGAAGAAAGCACTAAGGCCTGAACTGCTAACTTCCTCTGGTACCCACCAGCTCTAATGCACTTTCTACACTGCTACTAAGATTCCCTTTCACAGTGCTGCGGACTGAAATGGGGGCACCCGACCACTGCGTTCCAGGTCTTTTTAAAATTTAGTTTTGAGACAGGGTCTTGATATGTTGCTGAGGCTAGACTCTAATTTGGAATCCTCCTACCTCTGCCTCCTAAAACAAAAACTTTCTAAGCATCCCTCCCCGCTAAAAATAAGTTTGAAGTCCTTACTATGTGACTCAGGCCTTTCAAGAACCCATTGTAGGCCACTGTATGTCTAGCCTCCTATACTGTCCCCTTCTTCCTCTTCATGACTCATGCTGCAGAAATACTGGATTAACTGATGGTCTCTTTAAGTACATTTCTATACCTCCGTGGTTTTGCACATGTCATTTCTTGACTGGTGTTTCTGTCCCTCCTGGAAAACCTTACTCTTTCTTCATGACCCAGCCTATGTGGACTGTCCCTGGGCGCTTCACTACCCGCCCACTCGGATGCATTTCCACACAACCCGAGGCATCTCCTGCCATGCTCTCCAACAGCACGCCACTGTGCTGTTGCATTGGCTTATTACAGTCGGCAGCAAACCTTTCAATTTCCTTCCCTAAATTAGGAGTTCCTTGAAGAGAAGCCCACTTCCTCAGCACAGTGAGCACTTAATAAAGGCTTGCTAAATGAGGGAAAATATGGTCAACAGGATATAGCAGTGAAAATAACAGGAATGTGACTAAGAAGCTGTTACCAGTAATGAAAAGCCACATGTGAATGCTTTGACTTGTTGACACCTCCCACTGTGGTCCTTGATCTCTGCAAACTTGAATTTATTCATTTCATCCTCAGATTGTGGAGTCTCCAGTCCTTTCTCTTATGGCTGTGTCCTATAGTGATGGACTCCTGACATGGTCATTACATGTGGGTTACATTTCAGTAAGCCAAATGTTCCAGGATGGATGAATTCTATTTTTTTTTTTTTTTTTGGTGCTGGGAACTAAACCAAGGGGCACTCTACTCTACCACTGGGCTATTTTATTTTGAGACAGGGTCTTACTAAGTTGCCCAGGCTGGCCTTAAGCTTGTAATCTTCTGCCTCAGCCTCCCAAGTTGCTGGGATTGCAAGTGTGCACCACTGCACCTGGCTCCAGGGTGGGTGAATTGGGTACTCCACTCTGGAAGCTGCATGTAGCCAGAGGTCATTAATGGTTTACAGCATGACATGGGCCAGCCAGATCTGGCCTCTCCTCTGGATGGGACTGATTCAAACCAGCTATGGAGACTAGTGGGGGGTGGGGCAGATACATTTTTGCCTAAATATATGCATACTAATGTATGTAAATTTTTGGACTACTGGCTAGAAATGTTATGTAAGAATACTGAGCTCTAACGGATCTTAAATTAGAGGAGGTAGTAGTAATAAAGGCAAATGCCTTCCAGAGAATGACCTGATTCAAAGTAAATCAGAAGAAACTAATTATCTAATAAAAGAAATGAACGGATATAAGATAATTATTAGAGTTGAAAGCAATCAAAAGAATTTTTTCTAGTATAAAATCAGCAGGCATCATTTTGTCTTAAAGCACCACAGCATCGGGTGATGCAGCTGAAGACTTAACATCTGCAGGCACCAGCAGGTCACCTCCCCCCTGTGGCAGCACAGTGGATTCACAGACCAGCGCGCCCTTATCACAGTGCTCCCCTGGTGCCTGGTTTCCACAGCTCCAATCTCCTGGCAGCTGGGCACTTACTCCACTGCGGCGGGATGTCATGGCCACCACCGGAGACCACTGGTTAGTTCTGGGGTTGTATCTCTCAGCACTGCTGAGCTCTGTGGTGTCATCTCTCCCTCCCACGGCATAAATCATGTCCTGATACACTGCACAGCCCAGGTGTTTCCGCCGGGTCCCCATAGGGGCTATGGTGTGCCATCTGTTTTCCTGAGGATTGTAGCGCTCCACTGCAGGGAAAAGAAAGACCAAGATGTGACCATTCAACCGCTTCCTCTCATGCAAGTTTTCCTGAAACAGTGATAACACTTATTTCCAAGAAGCAATTTGATACTTGCTTCTGAGTAGGATTTGTGGACTTTGGACAAAACCACATCTGTTCTCGTCAGACTAGCGTCCTCAGGTGTGTTACAGTGGAAAGGGCACGTGCTGGAGTCACGATACTCCACGATACTCCAGCTCTCGTTTTGGCTATAATTAATTAGCAATGGTAGCCTCAGCCTTGCTCTCCTGACCTTTACAGAGGGGACCGGACTACAGGAGCCATAAATGCCATTCACTACTCATTATTTTGGCATAGACAGCCTCCCTTGCTTATAGCCTCCTATAGTTTAAGCCACCCAACAGAGGACAAGCTACGTGATTGTGATCGGGGTCTGAAGAGAGTGCCACTGGCAATATCCTTAGGCAAAGACGCCCACTGCTTCTAAATAGAAAGGACGACACACAAAGTTTCTGGTTCTAAAATTTTATTTATTTATTCTCAGACTGTAATATTATTCTTTTCTCTTTCTCTCTCTTTTTTTTTTTGAGAGGTGGAGACTGTGGTGGGGGGAGGTGAAAATAATTTTTCAGAAAGGAGTTTTAATTCATTATAAATTTTCATCAGTTTGCAAAGCCGAGGGAGGAAGAAACACTTCAGGAATGTATACAAGAGTATGGATGCAGAAGGAGCTAAGAGCTGCATCCTCCTAGAAGGAAGAGAAAACATTTTCCTAGTAAACTACAGCATAACTTGGACCTTCAATAGTTTTTGTAGGGGGAGTCTCCTCAGGGATATGTGCTGTTTGGGGGGAACCAGAAGGCCTCTGGGAGGGACTAACCTGTGTTGAGTGGAGATGTCCCATCAGAGCCACCTACGGCATACAAGAACCCTCCTAACACGGCCACGGCCACGCCGAGTCTTCTGGTACTCATTGACGCTACCCGAGTCCACTTGTTCTCCTTTGGGTCATACCTATGGTGACAGAGACCAGGATGTGTACATGTTCTTACTGAGTGAAGCTGTTTCCATAAGGTCTGAAATAACACTAAGATATACTGGATATTTAAATTACAATAGTATAAAAAATCATATTACCACACATGCAATAGCATTTATCCTTTTTTTTAATATTTATTTTTTAGTTGTAGGTGGACACATACCTTGATTTTATTTTTATGTGGTGCTGAGGATTGAACCAGTGCCTTATACATGCTAGGCAAGTGCTCTTCCTCTGAGCCACAACCCCAGCCCCAGGATTTATTCTTTTTCTTTTTTAATATTTATTTTTTAGTTTTAGGCGGACACAATATCTTTATTTTATTTTTATGTGGTGCTGAGAATCGAACCCAGTGCCTCAAGCATGCTAGGCGAGCGCGCTACCACTTGAGCCACATCCCCAGCACCCAGCATTTATTCTTTTTAAAATTTTTTTTTAATATTTATTTTTTAGTTTTCGGCAGACACAACATCTTTGTTTGTATTTGGTGCTGAGGATTGAACCCGGGCTGCACGCATGCCAGGCGAGCGCACTACTGCTTGAGCCACATCCCCAGCCCAAGCATTTATTCTTAATAAAGAAAAGTCTTGTCATTTGTGACAACATGGTTGAACTTGGAGGACATTATATTATGTGAAATAAACCAGGCAAAGAAAAATAAATTCTATACAAGTTTACTTGTATGTGAAATCTAAAAGAAAGTCTAACTCAGAAGCAGAAAGTAGAATGTGCTCTATTCTCTGCTGGGCTGGGTGGGGGGTTGGGAGCATTGGGAAGATGCAGTCAAAGGATGCAAAATTTCAGGAATAAGTTCAAGAGACTTAATGTTCAATAATGGTGACTACAGTTCATAATAATATACTGTATACTTCAAAACTGCTGTGAAATTTTAAGTACATTCACCATGAAACATGGTAAGTATTTGGGGTAATACGCTGTCAGTCAGCTTGACTTAGGTCTTCTACATGGTATACATATTTTAAAACATCATGTTGTTCAACATGACCTTATATAATTTGTTGATTAAACATAAAATTTAAAAATCTTTTTTATGTCTTTCATCTTTCCAGACTTAAACATTTTCCTGAAAGCGTATGGGAAATCTACTAAATAGTGGATCTATCAGTGTCCTAAATTCAGCTGTAATTGTTTTTTTCTTTTTTTTAATTGAAAGTGACTTTAAAAAAAATTACCTCTCAACAATGTTGAGGCAAGACACACCATCCTGGCCCCCCACAGCATATAGGAAGCCTCCGAGGACTGCCACCCCCACGCTGGTCCTGCAGGTGCTTGTAGGGGCCACATCACTGCTCCATTGGTTTGTTTTGGGGTCATATCTGTAAAGAACATATCAAGAGCAGAGCTTATACTGCATAACGGAAGCTTGGCTATGTTTACATATTTCAAATCAAAGGATTTATATATTCTTTCCCCAAAATATGGGTGGATTAATAATTGAAGCATTTGAAAATCTAATTTATATTTTTATTTTCTGAAATTTATTTTTACTTAAACAAGTTACATATGAGTATATTTTCTTTTTTGAAAAATCAGAATGTTATTGATAAAGCTATAATCCCCGGAGTTCCACCTGAAATCTGTTCTCTATCCAGTTTGAACTGGCACATATCTTCAAGACTTTCCAGTAAAATGCTCTTAAAAAGGCAAATATGTACCTACATATGTATTTCTTTATGCACAAGCATTTTTTTACATAAAATAATACCACATAGTAAGCACTATCTTTTTCTCTCAATAATTTTTGACATCTATTATGCTAATATAACTCTAGAATTTTTCCTTTGAACTATTTTTTTTATAAATACCTTTATTTTATTTATTTATTTTTATGTGGTGCTGAGGATTGAACCCAGCACCTCATAAGTGCCAGGCAAGCGCTCTGCCACTGAGCCACAATCTCAGCCCCTGAACTATACAGTATGTGCCATCCATTTTTTAATCATATTCCTACTAACATCAGTAGGAATTCTTACTGAATCTTAGGCTGTTTGACATTTTTGCTATGAAAAACAATAAATATTAGGCTGGAGGTGTAGTTCAGTTGTAGAGAACTTGAAGGCCATTGCTTTCATCCCTAGTAACACAAAAACAAAATAGACTAAACCCCAAACTATCAAATTGCTCTTTTTTACAGTTATCTCAATTTAATTTTAATTTTATTTTTTTGGTTTGAACTCAGGGACCCTCAACCACTGAGCCACATCCCCAGCCCTATTTTGTATTTTATTTAGAGACAGGGTCTCACTGAGTTACTTAGTGCCTAGCCTTTGCCGAGGCTGGCTTTAAACCCGCGATCCTCTTGTCTCAGCCTCCTAAACTGCTGGGATTACAGGCATGTGCCACCATGCCCAGCCAATAGTAATTTCAATTTTTAAAAGTTATTTTTAGTTGTAGACTATGTGGTGCTGAGGATCAAACCCAGTGCCTCACATGTGTGAGGCAAGTGCTAAACCACTGAGCCACAACCGCAGCCCTAATTCTCTCAATTTTAATTTTTTCAATTTTGTTAATATTTTCTCCTCATTATTATTTTTCTTTCTGTTTTGTTGCTCATTGTTGTATACCTTCTTGATTTAAACACAGGGTTCATTTTTCATCTGTCTTATTTTCAAATGCAGGTAACAAGTTGTATGAATTAATATAAGCTAACATTCATTTACCTTTGCCTTTGTATTACATTCTATATATTTTGACCTGCACAGGCTTAACTGTTAAGTTATAAATATTCAATTTTTTCTACTCTGATTTCTTTTATTCATCAATTTATTTTTAAGAGTTCTTCCCTGCAACCCTGCCCCATTCAACGGAGTCCTCTGTCCCATTCCGCCCCAGCTTATATATGCTACAGGGTTTCATAGATGTATTATGTAAATATAAAAAAACACAATAAATCAACATGGTAGAATGAAAAAAGGTGTGTGAGAACAAGAAGCTACTCAAACACAGCTTTCCGTGTGCTAGGCATTGTGACACGTGGAAACGGGAACAGACGTTTCAACACACAATTACAGCATGATGTGATATGTACACGCATGTTTAAAACACTCATGGAGGAGCAGAGGAATGAATAACTCTTCTGTATAGTTAGAGAAAATTTTATGTAGAAAGAAACAGTTGAGTTTTTGAAGGATTTCTAAGTCCTTAAGGGACAGAGATTTTCTAGGGAAGAAAGAAGAGCATGCATGCCTACTTGTAGGGAAAAGGTATGAAAAACACAGCACACCCAAAGGACTTCAGGGAACTTGCTGGGTCTGCAGTAGCATGTGCAGAGAACAGCGATGACAATGAGAAGCTGGACAAGCAGGGGGAAGTGAGTTCATAAAGGACTTGTATGCCATGCTAAGTGGTCTAGGTTGCTAACTGGTGCCACAGTGAAACAGTAAAGTCACATCTGGATTGATATCTAAAATGAAAATATTTCAAATTAGCCTCACTCACCTTTCAACACTATTTAGGTAAGAGGATCCATCGTGGCCTCCTACTGCATATAATAGGTCATCAAGAACACTGACCCCAACTCCACATCGCCTTTTGCTCATTGAAGCTACCATTCGCCATTCATTGGTCTGAGGATCATATCGTTCAACACTGGAAATGGCATCTCCACTGCACCAACCACCAACTGGGAAGGAAAGAAGGTTAAGAGAGTACCTGTCCTAAAGGCAGAATATATCCCTGCTAGCCTCCTGGGACCTAAAGCATGGACTAACAAATGTGTCTAAAAGCAGATTAAAATGTAGATTACAGCCATAGGACAGTTGGCTTGGACCTTGGTCGTGGATTTCCACTTTACAACTGTAAGAAAATAAATTTCTTTTTGTTTAAATTACCCAATATTTTGTTATGGCAGACTGAACATATTAATAGAGTAGGTAGTGTTCAGAATAACAGTTTCAAACTGAGTTCCATGAAGCTCCTCTAAAGGACCCTTAAAAAAAGGTAGAGTTATAGTAGGTAAGCTTAATTTGCTTTTTTTTTTTTTTCTTCTTTCACTCAGGGATTGAACCTGGGGATGCTCTACCACTGAATCACATCCTGTACCTTTTTTTTTTTTTTAACAACTAATTTTGTTTTGGAGCTGTAGATGGACAGAATGCCTTTATTTTATTTGCTTATTTTTATGTGGTGCTAAGGATCAAACCCAGTGCCTCATACATGCGAAGCAAGTGCTCTGCCATTGAGCTACAGCCCCAGCCCCCTTCTTTATTTTTTGAGTCAGGGTTTCATTAAGTTGCTCAGGGCCTCACTAAGTTGCTGAGGTTGGTTATGATCCTCTTGCCTTAGTCTCCTGAGGTTCTGAGATTGTCGGTGCGTATCACTATGCCTAGCTTAACATGTTTTTCTTTTAAATCATCTCTATTTCAATCCAAAATAAGAGCTGGATTCTTAAAAAATAAAGTGTCATGGTATTGTAACCTCTAAACCTTTGAAAATGACTTGTTTCTTAGGGTCTTGGGTAAATTCCTGAGTCAGACTACTAAGGCAATAATGTTCCTAGTCATCTTCAAGATAAATCTAAAAATTCACTTTTTAAAGTTCAAATTTCAATGTGATACACAAATTTTACTTTATTATGCTTTCATTTAAATCAGAATATACAACTAATACTAAATCACAGCAAGTTTTTTGAATAGCAATTTGTTAAGTTTGAATTCTGTAACTAAATATATACCAGGAATTTCAGTATCAGGGAAAGCATTCTTAACTCTAAACTAAAGTCAGACTGGAAATGTGAGGGTTTACAATACTTGAGACCTATCAAATAGCCTAACAGCTGTTCAATGCTTTATACTGCTCCAAACCAAATAAATATTTCATAAATGGTGATGTTCAGTACCAAAGGGAAAAACAGGCCTTTAGGAAACCAAATTTAAATCTTTCATGTGACTTAGGAAAGCAAGAAAATGTTTGTTAAATTCCACTGCCTTGTGGTAATTCATCTGTGCATTGTGATTTCCAAGGCAGCAACTGATGTCATAACTGGTGTTACGGACTGTCCTTCAAAATTCACAAGTTGATGCCAAAGCCCCATGACCACTGTATTTGGACACAGGGCCTTTCAGGAAGTTACTGAGGTTAAATGAGGTCATGTGAGTGAGTCCTTTATCTGCTAGGACTGGTGTACACGTAGGAGGAAGGGACATCAGAGTTCTCTTTTTACCTCTGCACACAGAGAAAAGGCCATGTGAAAAGGAGACAGAAGACACCCTCTGCAAGCTGAAGAGAGATTCCTCAGCAGAAGCCAACCCTGCCCACACTTTGATTTTAGACTTCCAGTTTCAAAACTGTGAGAAAATAAATTTCTATTATTTAAGCCACCTAGGCTATGACACTTTGTTATGGTAGCCCAAGGAGACTTATACACTGTAGCTAGCAAAATCCAAGTCACTCTCTTGGAACTCTCAATTTGTGTTAAGCAGCATACTGAAGAAAAAACACTGGGGAAGGGGGATATACAGTTTTATACATATGAGATGTTGACTAACAAGAAGCACTTCACAAAGATTTGGTCAAAAAGTGTTAAAGAAGGCAACTGAAAATTGACAGATGTCAATAAGACTAGGAGAAAATAAGAGGAAAAGCCAGAAACAAAGACATCAATAGGATGTAAAAGGCTCCTGAGTCAAAAACTACTGAGATTACACATTTGCTCTTAGGCTTCCAGTGTTTATTTCCACAGAGTGATGAAGAAAGATGGATTCCACTTTCCAAGGATATGTGAAAATTAGTGACTTGGCATTTCAAAGATTAAAAAAATAAAAATAAAAACCAAAACAAACTGAACATTACAGACATATGGGTCCAGATCTAAAATTATGTTGAACAGTGTTGGTCAAGAACAGAGTTGAGCTGGGCGTGGCACACACCTGTAATCCCAGTGGCTTGGGAGGCTGAGGCAGGAGGTTCACGAGTTCCAAGCCAGTCTCAGCAACTTAGTGAGACCCTGTCTCTAAATAAAATATAAATATAAAAAAAGGGCTGGGGATGTGGCTTCCTGGGTTCAATCCCTGGTACCAAAAAAAAAAAAGAGTTCAGGCTAAGCTTGGTGGTGTACACCTATAATTCCAGTGTCTCAGAAGGCTGCAGCAGGAGGACTGCAAAGTTTGAGGCCAGCCTGGGCAACTTAGCAAGAAGACCCTTAGCAACACGACAAGATCTGGTCTCAAAAAAAAAAATCAGTGATAAAACACCCCTGGGTTTAATCTCCAGTATTAAAAAAAAAAAAAAAAATAGAGTTCAGAAAACCTATACTGGTGGTAAAGGAAAAGAGCTAATGGCTCTTTTCTACAAATGAAACCTGACTAGTGTAAGAAAGGTGACAGATGATTTTATTTTCCTGCGCTAATCAAAATTTCTATACTACTTGCACATTTACTTATATAGTGAGAAAAAAAATGTGTTATTTAAAAGTAGGTTATCTGACTGCAGCACTGCAAAAAACCCCACAAACCTACAAAAACAGGCCATCTTTCATTTATAAGTGAATTCATAAATTACTGCTAGAACGTGGCTTTGGTTTTTCTTTTTCCAATACTTTTGAAGGATCAGGGCTAATTTCTTACTAGAGTTCCTCATGTTCAGTTATTCTTCAGTGAGTGCCTACTCTGACAAGTCCAAAATGCAATCTGGAAACTATGAGAACGAATTAGAAATGGTCCTTGACCTCAGTACTTAATGATAATACAGTGGAGGAACCAGACATCAAATCAGCAATAACCAACAATGAGACCATGAAACAGATCCAATTTAACAGGCTTCTGAAGAAGGTGAAGTGGGTGTAGCTTCATCAACATCATGATGTAGCCAGGCGTGGTGGCACACACCTGTAATCCCAGTGCCTCAGGAGGCTGACACAGGAGGATTGCGAGTTCAAAGCCAGCTTCAGCAACTTAGTGAGGCCCTAAGCAGCTCAGTGAGACCCTGTCTCTAAATAAAATACAAAAAGGGCTGGGGATGTAACTCAGTGGTTAAGCACCTCTGAGTTCAATCCACAGTACAAAAATAAAATCATCATGATGTAATCAAAAGAGGCAACTGAGATTTTATTAGGGAGAGTCACAAATAGAAAACTAGTCACCCAGTCTGTAGTGCACAACTATAATCCCAGCAACCTGGGCAAGAGGATCAAAAGTTAAAGGTCAGGCTCAGCAACTCAGCAAAACTCGGTCTTAAAATAAAAAATATAAAAAGCTGGGGATGTAGCTCAGTGGAATAGAGCCCCTGGGTTCAATCTCCAATGCCAAGGGGGAGGGGGAAGGAAGGAAGGAAGGAAAGGGTATTATAACCTAAAGACTGCATAAAATTCTCTGATGAAAAGAAGAGATCACTTCATATATCAAAAATGGAAGAGCAGAATCAGAGAATGGCCATATCTAAGAGCATGGAATTACTGAAATCTGGAAGCTTAAATAAAAAAGGCTATAATAAGTTACAGCCAGCTTGATGAAGCAGGATTTGAAAAAATTCTGGAGTGCAGGTTGAGTATCCATCCCTTATATGAAATGTTTGGGACCAGAAGTGTTTCAGATTTTGAAGTATTTGCATAGATCACCAGCTTAGCATCCTTAATCTGAACATCTGAGATATGAAAGTGCTCCAAAATACAAATAGTTTGAGTCCAGACATGACTTTGGAGCATTTTTTGACTTTCGATAAAGGATACTCAAGATGTAAGAAGTTGTAATAGATAGTAAGAAAGCTGTTATTCCGTGTTATTCAGGTGGGTAAGGGAGCTGACTGCAGGGCAGAACTGAAGCACATGAAATTGGAAGATCTCAAAGACAGGGGCAGATAGAAGGAGTAAAATAATATAGCATGCTGTCTTGAGCTCAATGTAAGATAACAGAGCCAAGAAAGAGTCTGTGTCATATAAGGTGAAGGTGATGTTGTTTGGCAACTCCATGAAATTACGAGTTGATATACATACACTGGTACATAAATTAATGCATGTGACTCATTTTTAAAAAAATTTTTAATATTTATTTTTTAGTTATAGGTGGACCCAATATCTTTATTTTATTTGTGTGGTGCTGAGGTTTGAACCCAATGCTTCATGCTAGGCGAGTGCTCTACCCCTGAGCCACAACCCCAGCCTGCATGTGACTTATTTTAACGAAACATACCTTCATGATATTTTTAGAAGTATAAAAATAGAGCACTCTTTCTTTTCTTCAGTACTGGGGACTGAACCCAGGGCTCTCTACCCCTGAACTATAGCCCCAGCCCTTTTTATTTTTTCTTTTGAGATATGGTCTAGCTAAGTTGCCCAGGCTGGCCTTGAACTTGCCATCATCCTGTCTATCTCCTAAGTAGCTGGAATTACAGGTGTGTGTCACCATGCCCAGTAAAAATACATCACTCTTTGGGAGACTACCACTGTTGTATTATGGGTTTAGAGTTAAGCTACCTGATGACTTAATAGGTACAGTCGATATCACAAGTGTCTAAACAATTATTCAAGTCACATTGGAAAATAATTGACTTAGTTATGGGAATATTAAAATTCCAACCTGCAAAGAGTACTTCTCCACATCGGATAGGTTTCCGTGGTCTTGTCCGTGGTCCTTGCATTAGTGGTCGTTCTTGAGGCAACAGGAGGTAGTTTTTAGCTTCATCCACCAAGTCTCTGTAGAAAAAAGATTTTGCCTTTATTCTAATGTAGAAAAATACATTGCCATTCAAGTCCCAATATGGTTTAGGAATATATACATTGGCAAAAGGGAGCAAGCATAAATCAAATCAAATCATGAATGCCAGCCAATATTAAATTGGCACAAACATAGAAGCAGTGATGCCAGTCACACTATGAATTGTGGATTCATCGGATTTCCATCATGACTTAATATCTCAGTGAAGATTTAGCCTAAAGCTCAACATGCTTACAGCCAACAATAACTTATGAAAAACTAAAAATTACAACTCAATTACCAGCTTGCATAGTTACTACTTTCTAATGAGTTTTATTAGATTCTGCAGAATACTGGAAAAGCAGCACATTAGCCGGGGCACTAGATACTTGCTACATTAATTAAGGTAACAGAACTGGGTCAAATATTGGATTGCTAAAAAGAAATAGTCTAGAGTTACTTAATACTAATTTATTATCTGGTATCATATGAATAATTTAATCTTAACAAGCACAGTGAGATGAATAAAAATTTCTTCTAATTAAGTTGCTTTAAGAACCTGATAATTATGCTTGTGAATACAGTACTCTAAAACAAACTGTTAGTGTATGTACTTATTTCACTTGAGTCCTTCATGTAATGCAGTGCCTTCTTATTGCAAATTCTGTTCCTCTCTTCTTCTTTAACTAAAGTGTTGCCTAAAATACTCTATATTTTGATTTCTCTTATTATTTATGTTACAAAGAGTTAATTTATTCCTGTCAGACCAGTCCAGGAATTACTCAATAATGCACTTTCCAACATAAGCTTTTGTTAAAGCTCCTTCTGAGTTATCTACTCTAAAAACAAAAATTGACACAACAAAAAGGCCAGGAGCAACAGTGCACGCTTATAATCGCAGAGACTTAGGAGGCTAAGGCAGGAGGATCTAGGTTCAAAGTCAGCCTTGGCAGCTTAGCAAGGACCTAGGCAACTTAGCCAGACCCTGTCTCAAAATGAAAAAATAAAAAAGGCTGGGGATATGGCTCAGTGGTAAAGTCCTTCTGGGTTCAATCCCTGGCACCAAAACACCAAAAAAAAAAAAAAAAAAAACCCACTCCAAAAAGCCAAAAGTTTTTTCAAGCTCCATACTTGAAAGACTTTGATCTCCTAATTGCCAGTTTTTAAGTCAGTATAGAAAGAGCACTACAGGGCTAATACTTAGAAAGCCAATGCAAAATTAATAGTAACAACAATGTAGTAACATGCTGCTCCCTATTTTACATGCTTCATATATATTAACTCATTTAATCTTTATAGCAGCCCTATGGAATACACACTATTATTAATCTACTTCCTGGATGAAGAAACTGTAGCACAGAGAGGTTAAAGTAACTTGCTCAAGGTCACAAAATTAGTAAATTGTGAGGTTAAGATATCAGGAAGGCTCTTTTAAAAGTAACTTCACAAGTATCATTAAATTTCTACATCAGAATTAAAATAATCTGATTATGCTTAATGAAGGAGGAGAGTTATCAGTGTTTTGTTTTGTTTCTTCAGATTTCAGTGCATATAATTCATATGGTTTCCTTTTTTGCTACTGCAAATATTTAGGGGAATTAATTAAAATTAAAATTTAAAAGACAGATATCTTAAAATCCCCTGTAGCATCTCCTGTTAAACAACAGGCCTTGGATTATAGAAGAAATGCAGTGAATTTGCATGTCCTACCTCTGTTGTAGAATTAGGGTTAATCCCAAATTTCTTTAATCACCAAGAGAGGCACAGAGATGAGTGTAGTTTTAAAGAGTCCTGACTTGTTCTTTCACCTTTCTATTTAGAACATTCTTCATAATTGGAAAAAAATTATTAAAAATGATTTCATTTTTAATGGTTTCAAACTTGAACCTAAATCTTAAGATATTTCAAACTGGAAAATTAATTTGTTAAATTTTGTGTCTGTTACAGAGACAGTCTAGTAAAATAGTTTTTTGTTTCGTTATGTTTTAGTCAAAAAACATTTGGAAACTAGCTCCAGTGGAAATCTTTCCAAAGTTACTTTAGGAGTTGGTCTTTAACTCTTTAACTCTGTCCACAGTTTTAGAAAGCAAGTCTGGTCCTATTTCCCAACAAGACGTATGTGATGGAATGAAAGAGTGCTCACTAACACAGAGTCAACAGAATTGTCCACTTTATCTCAAGAGAAAAAAGCAGAGATTGCCTCTTCAAAGTCAAGCTAGCATTAAAATCTTAGAAATCTACCTCTTTATTGCCACTTCTACACCAATAAGCACCACACATAAAAAACTAACGGAATGGAATACTGGAGGCTCAGTCCTCTCTTCTTCATTCTCTTCCTCTTGACCCTAGCCCAGAAGAAAAACCTGTTAAATACCGCCCCGGTTTCAGCACTAAGAAATATAACATTTTAGAAGCAATAGGAGATTAAAAGAAAACATTAATGTTTATTTTTCTCCTCTAGGGCCACTCATACCTGCATTCTTCATCACTTTTAATGAGAGGGTCAGAGCCTACTGTGCCCACCAGGAACTTGGGACTAAGCAAGGGCAAACGGACATGCTGTAGCACCTATGAGATAAGAAATACTATTAATACTAAAGGCATGAAGTCTACCCATAAGATTGTCAAGGAAATACAAGACCCATGCTCCCCTACTCTGCTTCCAAGTATTTTGGTAGCTAGTTGAACATGATAAACAAGGAAGAAGGATGACAGGCACAAACACTAAAACTAAATGACTTATTCTAACTAACAAGTCAGTAATGTGAAATGACTGAAATACACTAACATCACTTTAGAATGTTATTTTAGGTTTTAACAATGTTACAAGCTCTTCTGTAACTGTACTCAAATTCACTCACAATCTGAAAAAATATTCTGTTAATTACTAAAGAATATAATAGTCCCTTGTTATCTGCAATTTCACTTTCAGTGGTTTCAGTTACTGGTAGTCAACCTTGGCAGAAAATTTTAAATGGAAAGTTCCAGAAATAAACAATTCAATATAAGTTTTAAATAACTATTATCACAGTATATTGCTGTAATTGTTACTATTGTTGTTAATCTTCTACATTGCCTAATTTATAAATTTAACTTCACCACAGGTATGCAATGTATAGGAAAAAAATTAGTATACATAGGGTTTGAAGGTTTCAGGCATCTAGCTGATCTTGAAGTGTATCCCCTGCAGATAAAAGGGGTCTACTGTATAGTCATAACAAGTGATCATTCCTGCCCCAATTTACCCATTTATTATTCAAGGTAAGGTAGGATTTCTAAGCTATCGGAAAAGCATCCTTGCTTTTTGTTCATTTTATATAATTTAGATTTTTGAATTGTGTTATAGCTCAAAAGTAGAGTCCAAAATAGAAGGGAAGCAAAGAAGTAAAAAGTTCACTATGATAAGCACTCAAATGCTTCTAAACACTTCCTTGGAAACAGGTAAACTGTCTTGGAGTCTAATACAACGGTTTCATTTTTGCAAGACAAGTGCATACTGTTTCTTCTGGTACAAAGCAGTTTAGAGAAGTGTTTCTAGTATTACCTGGGGCAACTGAGGGCGTCTTTCTTGAATACTGTACTTGACCCACGCCATCACTGCATTGAATACTTGCTCTTCACTGCGAACATTCAGCTCATCACTAGATATGATATCAATGAGTTGATTGGCTGGAAGTAACATGAACTCTTCACTCTCCATTACCTGTTCAAAGTTAGGTAAGAATGAAAGGGGGATGGAAAGAAAAGAAAGAAAACTTATGAGCACATTTGATTTAATTTTTCTTCAGGGTTATATGGCAATACTATTCCACAATGGAATATAAGTTTAAAACAATATCTGAAGTAAGGATTAAAAATAAAGTATAGAGATCACAATCAAAATTTTACAAAAATAATCACTTGTGAATTAAGCAATTTAAGAAAAATGACATTTTCCCTTAAAGATCAAAATAAGCCAAATTAACTATATCCAATTAAAATTCCACAAATGTCCAGAGGTACATAAAGAGTCAGGAAAAGCTTTCAGAGGAAGATTAGTTGATAAAGAGCAGTATTTAGGGTAGAAATACAAAAGGGTCAGTTTTAAAAAAAGAATGAGGCTGCCTACAATTCTGCAACATGAATATGAGGAGAGCAGGAGACCAACCTCTGAGGACCACACTACTCTGATACATATTTTAATGAGAACTACAAACTGCCAGGATTTATCTTTACTCAAGTCTAGGGAACTGTAAGATGGAGACGCAGGCAGCCACAGATTCCAGGCCCTCCTGAGTGTACTCCTCAGGGTGTGACTAAGGGCAGGATGCAGCAGAAAAGGTAGCGGCCACTGCTCCATCCCTCCAGACGGGGCTACCTGGAATGTCTGCTGGTCCAGCAGGATTGGCAGGGAGCTGGTTCCCCCTGTGCTGCCTGAGGCAGACCAAGGTTTCTCTTGAGATTGGGTTATTTTCATCCTCATCAAAGTCAACCGACTATTTAGCAGGATATATAAGGCTATAACAATAATTTGAATATTTGGTCGTTTTCCTCAAACACATTAGAAAAAACGCAAATCTCAAAAAGAAACAGTTAAGGGCCATTAGGTCAGTTATACCTTTTAATAGCTCAAGTTTTCAAATGATCTCTGTGAAATACTTTCCAGGGTTCAGGAAATAAATATTAGCTAAGGCTGCTTAGTCAGGCAACAATAAGTAGAATGGTTGCATTTTATTCTTTGTAGTAGGGTTGCCAGATTTAGCAAATAAAAATATAGCACATACTTATACTAAAAATTATTTGTTGTTTGTCTGGAATTTAAATTTAATGGACAGCACTGTTTTATCTGGCTTCCCTGTGTTGGGAGTGGGTGGAGGGCTACAACATCGAGAACCGTTTGGAGTCTAGTTCCTAGTGTGTTGGCTTCATATCAAGCACAACTTTAGCCATGGCTGAATCTTCCTTTCCCCTTTTTTATTTTCTGATGTCCTCTCTTAAGTACAAGTATGGTATCATGTATCTTTGTAAAGTGTCTTAACATTCTTTTAAGATCTTGTCAAAGAGTTAAGATTTTTTTCCTTTTCCCAACATATTGATTAAAAACCAAATGTTACTGAAATATCACCAGGTTTAAAGTTTATGAATAAACCACTATGATACTAATAATTATTTAACAATAACATGACATAGCAGGAAGGCATGAAAATTTGTGTAAAAATATATTTGGCACAAAAGAAGAGCAGAAAGTAAAAAAAATAATACTGGTGATAGACAAAGTCTGCTAAAATGCCAATTCTTTTTCAGCAACAAGAAATAGATATTAGTAATATATCATCAGGGCAAATCTAGCACTGAAATCTATCCTTGAACCAAATGACAGGTTAAGAAAACATGATTAAAAATTTTTCTTAACTAAGAGTTTAGAGGAGATTGAATTTTAAGACCCACACTATTATGGTAATCATAGTTTGCTTTCCGTTTCTTCAGATGAACGCAGATACTATTTGAGAAATGAACAAAGCTAAAAACTAGCAGAGTGAATAAGCAAAGTCACCTAGACTTTTTCTAATGGAGTATATGGTGAATTTTGTGCTGCTGAGTTTAAAGACAATTTTAAAATTTGTTTCTGAATAAGAATGACACTGTATGCATTAGGCTAGGTCTAATAAAACAGAAGGAAATTAAGGATAAATCTGATAAAGTTCAGAAGTAATTTAAATGTGTCATAAGTGTTAACCCCCAAACGGTGATCCTTGTTTTACACCTATGTGAACTAATACACTGCAATTTCATTATGGTATGTATCAAATTCCCTTGAAAGGCAAGCTCAGAACTAGAAGAGACCGCAGAATTTCCTTAAGGTTAATAGTGTTCTGATCTAAGAAAAAGTTATGGTTAAAGCAGAACTTTAAAAAAATCAACTTATGACTGAAAAATAAGAAATATAAACTATTAATATGCACACAATAAGACAGGATGCCAAGAACACTCTAAAGAATCAAGAACAGGGTATCTGCTGATGATGCTACTCAGGAGATTAAAGCAGGAAGATCACAAGATCAGGCCAATCTGGGCAATTCAGCAAGACTTGTCTCCCAAAACAAAACAAAACAAAAAGGGCTAGGGATATAGCTCAGTGGTAAAGTGTGCTTGGGTTCAATTCCCAGTTTCTCTTTTGGTTCTGGAGATTGAACTCAGGGGCACTCGACCACTGAGCCACATCCCCAGCCCTATTTTGTATTTTATTAAGAGACAGGGTCTCACTGAGAGGCTTAGTGCCTCATTAAGTTGCTGAAGTTGGCTTTGAACTCACGATCCTCTTGCCTCATACTCCGGAGCCACTGGGATTACAGGTGCGCGCCACTGTGCCGGGGTTCAATTCCCAGTTAAAAAAAAAATGGTAGAAGTAACTCAAAGAATAAGAAATTCAGTAAGTAACTTTCATATACATTAATGATAACCAGTTAGAAGATATAGTGGAGGAGAAAAACTAAATAGGAGAGGGGAAAAAAAATCTACTTAAAAAAGAAATCTGTAAAACCTACATGAAGAAAATGATAGAACATTCCTGAGTGATTCAAAATAGTTAAAGAAATGAAATCTTGTTCTTTGATATGACATCATATACAGGACTGTTCTTAACTTATAGATTAATATGATTCCATAAATATATAAACAAGTTTTTTCTTAGAGTTGGATAAGGTGATATTAAAGTTCATCTGGGAAAATAAACATGCAAAAAGAGTTCAGGTACAAGAGTACCTGCTCAGCATGCATAGCCCAGCACTGCAGGGTGGTGGTGATGGGAGTCACATGTAAACAAGCAAGAAAGCTGGAAACCACTGGAAACTAGGCCTATCACATGTAAGGATATATTGTAAAGCCTTAATAAATAAACCATTACAGAAGACAGTGGAGTACATTGTCAAATACAAAGGTACAAAAGCAAATACATACAGAAATCTAGTACATAATAAAGATGCTACCTTGAGTTACAGTCTACCTCACACTACTAGTTGACCATTTAGAAAAAGACAAAACTTGGCTCATATTTCACACAATACACAAAGATAAATAGACTACATACATAGTAGAAAAAAAATCTGTGTGAATTTTTCTGTAACTTGATATAGGGGAAGGCTTTTGAATTCTGTCTTGAAATTCTAAATATAATAAGACCGATACATTTGACAACATTAAAAAAAAAGCAAAAATTGCTGGATGTGGTGACACATGCCTGTAATCCCAGTGGCTCAGGAGGCTAGGGCAGGAGGATTGTGGGTTTGAAGCCAGTCTCAGCAATTTAGTGAGGCTGTATGAAAACTAGTGAGACCCTGCCTCAAAATGAAAAATATAAAGTGCTGGGTTGTGGCTCAGTGCTTAAGCACCCCTGGGTTCAATCCCCAATAAACAAAATAAAACAAACTCAAAACCAAAAACTTTTGCATGACCAAAAATATAACAAGCAAAGTTGAAAGACAAATGTAAACTGGAAAAAATATTTATATTATTTATATCATAGATAAAAGGTTGTTATTGTTAATAGGGGGAAAACCCTAAAAGCTAATAGAATAATGGGCAAAAGATATTTAAAACATAATTTGCAAGAATTATAAAAATGATCCTTAAACACATAAAAGATGTTTGACTTTGCTTATTTTAAGAGAAATGCAATTTAAAACTATATTACTCTAAAGATTAAGTCTCAAATTCTTACCATGGTCTATCAACTCTGGTGTGATTGGGCCTTCTTCCTTCTGTGAAATCATGAGGGAACATCCTACCCCAGGTCTTGGGGTCTAGAGTAGGTTGTTTTTTTTTCAGTTCTTCAAACTTGTTTAGTGTCTCAGAATTTTGCATGAGCTGTTCCAGAATCCAAGTTAAATACTTCTACACACTTCCAAATCACCCAAGGCTTCCTTCTCTGCAGACCCCAGTGATGATAATTATTTGTGTAACAGGCCCACAATAGCCATCTAGATTAGCTAAATTATAAACTCCATGAGTAGAGACTGCGGGTGTTCGTTTACTACTGTATAGCCTATGTGGATGAAACACAATAGGCTTTATAAAGATCTGTTCAATGAATAAGTGAAAAATAGTGTTCACTGAAAAATTCTTTGATACCATATAAATTTTTCTGATTATTGCTTGGTATTTTGGTTACTCACAAATAACCTCTGGTCTATAATTTATTCTGCTGACTAATTCATATAATCAGGAAGAAAAGGCCTTAAGCAAATGACTGACTGCAGTTATTCTATCAGGTGATAGATCCTCTTATGAATTAATGGACTGTATTTTGGTTTATAAATTAGCTCTTTATGAATTGGCTAGTGAGAAATGACTTTTACTGGCAAAACACAACATTGGCCTTTAAAGTAAAAACCAGGTTTGGCCAGATGCAGTGGTGCATGCTTGTAACCCCAACAACTGGGGAGGCTGAGGCAGGAGGATTTCAAGTTTGAGGCCAGCTCAGCAACTTAATGAGACCCTGTAACAAAATAAAAAGTAAAACAGGGGCTGGGGATGTGGCTCAGTGGTTAACCTCTGCTGGGATCAATTCTTGATACCAAAAAAAAAAAAAAAAACCAAAAAACAAAACAACAAAAAGACCCAGGTTTAGAATTTAAAACAACTTGATATTATGAATGAGAACCAGTAGTAAATATCCAAGCAGATGTCATTTATTGGAGATTGTGAACCCATATTGTCCTTCCAACAAATAGGTTAAGAATGCATTCAAACAACCATGTACAGCTCACCTCTTGAAAGTTATGCTGAGTGAACTTGTCTGCTATCCTCAGCAACTCACGGCAAGAATGTGTGTCAGCAAAAGCCCGAATGCCCAGGCAGTTAGAAGGATCTAATTGTCTCTTTAAGAATTCACAGCAGGCTTCCTGTATTTCTGCCAGCTGGAGGAGGCAGGCAGCTGGCAAAAGGGTCTGAACGTTGCCTTCCTCCACAGTTATCTGGGAGGTATACGCAAAGTCAATCAGAAGCTCCATGGCCCTCTCATCTATGTCTCGGATCACGACCTCTGTCTGACGGCTCTCCGCCAACTCTCCCGTAAACATAGCTCGGAAGTAGGGACTACAGGCTGACAAAATGACTCGATGAGCGTATATCTTTTTAGCGCCCACAACTAGCACCACATCGCATAGCTCCCGGTGCTTTCTCAGTAGGTTAATCACTTCCAAGGTTTGTCGAGGGTGCTTGTCTGAGATATAGGGCATACGGGCAGGTTGGGGAACCCCTTCTGGCAGTTTGTTGGGGTCTCCAAGGGTGCAGCGGCTTGTTACGTCCATTCCAGTCTCTCCTGGGCGAATGTTGGTACACCTATGGGAATGGGGAACAGGAGAGAAGGTGACAATTATTAGAAGCTCTCTTTTGCCCTAACTAAAGTGCTCCTAAGTCAAGAGGTAAGGAAACTTGCAATTACTGAGAGAAAGAAACGCACCCCTAAAGAACTCCTTTTCTAAGAACTCTAAAGCTCAAATTTCTTCAAAGTCTCTTAAATTGGTATTAATTCCAAGTCAGAGCACTTTTACTACATAATCCCATAAAATAAAGGGTAATTCATCCCAGAAGTATCAGAAAATAACCAGAAAAATTTAGATGATATTAAAACAGTAAAGAAGATGGCCAGTAAAGTACTGATTTATTTAGCAGGACTCTTAAGAGCCTGTAGAGTGGGGTCTCAGTGGTGAAAATTTTGCCTAGCATGTATGAGGCACTGGGCTCGATGCACACAGCACATAAAAATAAATAAATAAAATAAAGGTATTATGCCTATCTATAACTAAAAAAATTAAAAAAGAAGAGTCTTTAGAGCAAGATTGTTTGAGATTCATTTGGGTCTGGAAACATTAAATATGACAATGAGCCTCATTTAAAAGTACTACATATGTGCTGTGCAAGTGGTACCTGCTTATAATCCCTGAGACTCGGGAGGCTAAGGAAGGAGAATCCCAAGTTTGAAGCCAACCTGGGCAACTGAGTAAGAACCTGTCAGAAAAAAAAAAAAAGTGGAATAAAATAAGAAGGGCTGGGGATGGGCTTAGTGGAATAGCATCCCGTTTGAGTTGGGGTTTAATCCCCACTACAAAAACCAAAACAAAACAAAACAGAACAAAAAAACTACATTATGTCAAATTCTCCCTCCAGATCAGTCTGAATTAGTGAAGCTTTACTCTGATTACAGGAGAAAAGAATAAACCCACATACACTTTTTAATTTGTAAGTAAGTAGTTTCCAAAGGTTTGAGTTTTGTTGGCAGTTTAGAGGTTTAGATTTTCCTAATAAGAGTGTTATGAATAGGAACAAGGTTTAGTTATAAAAATTCAGTGCCTTATAAGAAGCATTAAACATGAAACAGGATGAGAAAATACTGGCATACATTCCATTTAGTTAAGTATGTTCAACTATGTGCATATACACGTTCATGTATGTTTTCATAACTGGTTCCCTTTGTAAATTGCAGGTTATATAAAATGAGTTTGAAAGTCACTATGTATAATTCTGGCCAAAAAAATTTAAAGTTCTAAGCCACAAGGGCCAAAAGATACAAAAAAGGAAAAGAAATAGAACATTTCTTTTTTTGGATTATTCAAAAAGACTTTTTAAAAAACATTTATTTTTTTTAGTTACAGGTGGACACAAGGTCCTCCTTTTACTTTATGTGGTGCTGAGGACTGAACCCAGTGCCTCCTGCTTGCTAAGCGAATGCTCTACCTCTGAGCCACAACCCCAGCCCTCAAAGATTTTTTTGCTGCTATTGTTTTTGGTTTTTAAGTAAAACATTTTGGGCTAGGGTGACACTGGCGCTTGGGGAATTGACACTGATACTTGTCTCCATCACTGTGGAAGACTATAAACTGTATATTCAAGTGTGTGTGGCCTACCTGTGTTAAAAGATATACTTTTCAGAGGCTGAAATAATTATTTTATTTTAAAAAGGGATATGAGGAAAAAAACTGACATAAGTATTTTATTTTGTTTTGGTTTTTGTAGTGGGGATTAAAACCCGGGATGCTATACCACGAAGCCCATCCCCAGCCCTTCTTATTTTATTTCATTTTTGTTTATTTGTTTTGTTTTGTTTTGAGACAGGTTCTCACTCCTTGGAGGAGTGTCTGTAAATTACCCAAATTCAATGAACACTGAATTATAGGACCAGGGTACAATATATATGTATCAACATCTATAAATTGTACAAGCTTTAAGTATGCAAACTGTGCTTCCTCATTTGGCATAATCTGTTACCCAGCTCCTCTTACTTAAGAGCTTGACTCCTTATTCCAGAAAGGTTCTTCTCCCAAACATCTGCAGAACTCTCTCCCTCATTTCTTTCAGATATTTGCTCAATTGTCAACTTACATACCACCCTATATGAAATCCCAACTCTTACTCCAATTACTTCCTTTACCCTTCTTCATGAATATATCACCTCCTGACATAATACACTGGCTCTCTCCCCTAACCAGAATGTAAACTTGGTGAGGGCAAATGCTTTTGTTCGCTTGCTCACTCCTTTATTTTAATATCTGAGTCCAGGGCCTGCTAAATAATTGCTAATGAATTCAACTTTTCTTGTCAAAATAAGTTATACCCATCAATTTACTTGTCTAGTTCTCATGAAAAAGTACTCTGTTTGAAGCCAGGCAAGCATCGGACAAACTACTATGCTCTATCTCATACTAGGTATAATCTTGGGGAAATCACCTTCCGTACCTCCCAGGAATGACAATGCTGAGTTTGTCTGAATGTTAGGTCCTCTTACTCCAAATTCTGTGCTTTATTATCCCAAACTCTCTTAGGCAATGGGACTGAGTATTTACAATGGAAATGACCTTAGAAATCTGGTCTATGTTGCTATTATTCTCCGATGGGAGAAAAAGCAAACACATAGCCACTTGATTGTACCACTCTACTCTTTTAGGAGAATGAGAGGGCACAAGAACAGGGATCACCAGTTTGCTGAAAATTTAAGGGGCACCTCATTTCAAATATTACAAGAAGTTGTACTTAATTCTATACAGAAAGTTATTTTTTCCTGTATTTGTGCTACTCATCTTTTAAATGCACTTTTTTTGGGGGGCGGGGGAGGACTGGGGATTTAGCCTAGGGATTCACTACCACCGAGCCACATCCTTAGTCCATTGTTTAAAAAAATTTGAGACTAGGTCTTGCTAAGTTGCTGAGGCTGGCCTTGAACTTGGGATCCTCCTGCCTCAGCCTCCTGAGTTGCTGGGATTACAGGTATGCACCACCATGCCTGGCTATAAATGCACACTTTAAAAAAAAAAAAAATCTAAGCTCACACCTTTCATCATTTTCATTATGTCCAGAAGGTTTTATTGGTAGAAAGTAATTCTTTTCTATATGTTTTCCAGGTGCCTTTGAAGGGAAATTATAATAAGAGACCTAGAAATAGATTGTGTTCACACCTTGCCACATCTACATTCACAACTTCTTTGTTTGGAGTCTGATGGAATAAATGCTCTAAAGATCTGAGGGGTGAGGTGTTGATTTGAAGCTTTAACTGCTCCCCTCCCCAGGATGGAGCAGAATCCTAGGAAAGATTTCACTGAAGGCTTGAGGGAGCAAGCTTTATTGTCCAAGTAAAAATTCAACTAGAGAAACCAGGGGGTCTCAGATTACTTGCTTTTTCAATCTGTGGATTTCTATTCAAAAACTGAATTAATGACATTATAAAAATAAAGGAAAAGAAACTAAACTCAAGTAACATTTTTAGTAAATGTCAAGTTTGTGAAAGAAACAGTATTTTTAAAATCAAAGGGAAGAAAATCTACTAATGATAACTTCAGCAGATATTGTACTCTTTTAGAAGTTATAAGAAACATAACTTCAAGATAAACTCTAGTAATGACATTTTACCAACAATTATTTCAAGCTTTAAAATAATTCTGATTTTATTCCTCTACCCCACCATAGGCGTCAAGGAAAACTTAACTATTTACCCAGTTTTAAGGATGAATTCTCAGTTCTCTTAAATCATTAACTGATGGCATTCCCTTATACAAGATGGCAGTTAACACAAAGGAAAAGACTTACATTCCATGATTCTGGGCATTAACAAGAAGGCAGCATTGGTAGTGGTGGTAGAAAGGATTGGTTGAGAGGAAACTAATGCAATAGCAACTACATGAGAGAGAAGGAAGGAATTTGGGTCTAAATGGTATCATCAAGCTATGGCATGAACCATCCCTGAAGCCCACCCTACCTCTGGTCTTGCAGTAAATAAATTATTCCAGGGATGAAGCCGGGCTGCATCAAGACTTTGTGTGACTTTCAGCCCCAAACATTATGACATCCAAAATACAGCAGCTAAAATGTGAAACAGCAAAACTAGTCACGTATTCTAAATTTACTAACCCACCAAGTACAGAAACTTATTATTGCTTTGACTGGTTAATTACTGCTGTTTCCAGAGGGGCCCCCCACCATCTATAATTGCTGTGTTTTTCTATAGATACTATTGAGAGTTTAGAACTATGGTTTGAATTTGCGCCTTTTCTTACAGATGAAAAGAAAACATGAGAAGATCTATCACTGAGCTATTTCACCAGCCAAAGACATACCAGGATTTAAAAGACTTCTATTCTAGAGATATCAGGATTGTAATAAAGAGAACTAAACTGCGCATAACAGTAATTTGGAGGGATAAAGTTGTAGGTGGAGGGCTGGGGTTGTAGCTCAGCGGCAGAGCACTTGCCTACAACGTGTGAGGCACTGGATTCGATCCTCAGCACCACATAAAAGTAAATAAATAAAATAAAGGTATTGTGTCCATTTATAACTAAAAAAATATTTTAAAAAGTTGTGGGTGGCGAAAGAGAGAACAAGAAGAGAAAAACTGATTAAAAATGGTGGCAGACAGTGATCTATGACCTCCCCAAGGTATTCAAGAGCCTCGAGGTCATGGTGATGGGGAAACCAAACTTTCAATGGCAGTGATCAATGAAGGAGGAGAGACAGTGAGTATGGAGTGTTTTTGGAGAAAACTGGTGTGAAAAGGGGAGACATATAGTAAGATGTCCATTTGCTACTGGGGCAGGGGAGAACTTGAAAATGAATAAATACTGATGCAAAGAAATTTAAAAATATAAGGAGGAGAGAATAAATGCTGGAGCAAGATCCTTGAAGAGTGGGAGTGCACATAACCAAAATGCAGATGAAATGAATCTTAGAATAAAGGAAGAAGAGCTCACCTTGGGAGATCAAAGGAAGGATATAATAGGGAAAATAATGCAGAAAAAAGACGTGTTTATTCTGGGGAGGCATCAGGAAATTGGGGAAGTTCATTACCTCATGGC